AACGTGTCTTGAATGCATAAGTACAACAAACCATCGTAACCTGCAAAAGGCAATCCTACAGTCAGCTTTGGCGGATGTAAGTTGTGATCCAATCCAGCACATGTAGCTGTAATAGGATAACCAGTTTCTGTCTGCCACCATTGATTTAATACTGGAACACCAAATGCATCTTCTGCCCACATTTTTGTTTCGTGATCTAAATGTTCTCCTGCCAAAAACAAGCACCTTATGCTACTGATGTCATATTGCTTGCCAATAATGGCACATGGATCTTCACGTTTAATAACACGTAGAGCTGTTGGAACCGTAAACATAGCATTTACTTGGTATTTTTCTATAATGCTAGTAGAAGCGTGAATGATCCAAATAAGAATAGATACTACGTTTATTACCGAAAGTATTGGCCGGCATCAGGAGTTCGAATTGGCTTTCCTTCATACAAAACACTTGTTAATCCGCATACTAAAGGTCCATAACACATATACGTATGTCCCACTGCCCATCCAAAATCGCTCGTCGCCCACCAAACGTCGTCATTCTCCATTCCGTGTATAGCCTTCATAGACCACGCAACTGGTACTAAATAACCAACTGTCCTTTCTACACCTTTTGGTTTATCTTACAATACAATAACGGACGAGATCAGTTGGAAAAATAGTTATTTTGTTTTACCTGTAGTTCCCGATGTATACAAAATGTATAACGGATCATTGGCTTTAATTGGAACACATGGATGGGGATCGCTACTATTTAATGCATTATCCCACGATATATCCATATTTTTATTTAATACCGATTTCTGGATGTTACCTCGCTCAAGGATTATGCATCTGCGTGGCTTGAATGAGCTAATCTTTATTGCTTCATTAAGCATTTGTTTATAACTAAAACAAATTGTTTATAGTAAACGCCTACTATGTTCGAGATATTTACTTAATTACTTTACCAGGTTCGACGCCACAACTGGCAGCGATGACTACCTTTGGAGTTGCGTGTTCTATACGGAGGGCAAGTTCGCTAGCAGCAAAACCTGAAAATTGCATCGTTGGGCTTTGCATCCAATCCAATATATACACAATATTTGCCTTTTTGCAAAATTAATAATGAAGTTGTCTACAATGTATGTGATTTTTTTGAAAAACAAACCTTAGACGTGAATATGAATCTCTTGGTGGTTGTTGCCAACTATGTTTCGGGATACAATTTGCACCCTCGAGATTAAAACACACACTTGAGTTCCTTAGCATATAATATATTATTACGTACCTCAGAAGCAAGATTAGGTACATCGGATGGGAGATCAAAAACAGAAATAATAAGCCGAATAAGTCAAGGTGAAACCGCCTTCAACAACAAGCGGAAAGTTTACCTCCAACAATATTATTGACTTGCATCTTAAGAAACATTTGATAAAAACATTTATATGAAGCATTTTATTGTATGGAAGTGAGACTTGGATAAGGATTGTTAACATTTTTAACCAACTGAGGTTGACGGTGGATCTATAGCTGTGGTTTAAGAGGGGTTTGGTCAGGTGGATCTGACAGGTCACCCGCGATTAACGGATTTGATAGGTGTGTACCTACCTTTAGTTACACTACAAATTTTATGTATAACAATGTCATTTCATAGACGATTCAACATTGCGTACCTTAACGTTGGCGGTACATAATATCAGTGTATAAGTTAAGTAGGTACATGGTGTCTTATGTCGCGTGGTTTGCAAGAATAGATTTAGTAACCTTAAAAATCGAAAATTGTCAAATGGGCAACGTTTTGCAATTTTATATGCCGACTCATAGTCAGACGAGATTGAAAATTATTTAAAAACTGAAATCTGACTAGTTGAAAGCGATAAATAACTCCGTCATGTTTGAAACCGAATATTTTAATTTTCTTATTTCGATAAGGGCTACTAACATTGCACTCTCTATACTAAATAGTCGAAATATTGATATTTAGGTACATGATTTAATTTGACAGCAGTTCTAATGATATCGTACTGTAAACCGTCTACTAGTCGTCTTATTATAAAATGAAAGAAAAGCGTAACTGTATGTCAAAAGTGCTTTCATTGCGAGGTTTGTATTTGAATTTGTCCAAATTTAACTAACATTTTTTCCCTGCAGGTATGTGCTAGCAGGTATAAGAAAGTAATTACCTCCAAACACCACAGAGTGTATGGCCCCCAGCCGAACAACTGCTAACATGGCTATAATAGTTTCAGGTACGACTGGCATGTATATTACAACCCGATCTCCTTTCCTTACGCCAAGCTTATTGAGTGCACCAGCCAAACGAGAAACCTGCAGTTTTAGGTTAAAGAGGCATTTCAAAACGTTTTCTACCTTATCCAGTAGCTCAAAATAAGTTATTTTCTGAACGGTTTGGGTTAGTGGACTATCGTGAATCAAGGCAACTTTTTTCCCTTTTCCTCCATGTACATGACGATCGACGGCGTTATAACAAGCATTCAGTTCTCCCCCAACAAACCTAATTTAATTGTCATTTTTGTAAATAACATTCCTTTATTCTTACCATTTTGTAAAAGGCTCATTAGAATTATCCATTACTTTCGTCCATGGTTTAGTCCAGGTTATAAGTTCTGCTACCTCACCCCAAAATTCTTCGGGTTTTTCGATAGACCTCTTGTGTACTTCATTATACTTCGGGCTCCGGAAAGTACCTAAGGATACATTATAAAAATCTAAAATCTACCGTGCAAGTGGATGGGTACAACATATACAAAGGGGTGCATCTAAAACGACCCATGCTTAATAAGTAGGGATCGAAATATGCGTAACTTAGTAAACATATGACCATCTGGGTTGGAGTAGGAGGCAAAGAAAATGGTCACTTGTTTCCCTCTGTACGCTTTATCCGCCTGACTAAAAACTATCACGTGCGACTGGAAGCCGAACAACAAAATCATCACAGTAGTCGGGCATCTACACAACGCAAGCCGCACAGTTACGAAAAAACTCACGCCACAACAGCATTTGCAAATAGTCCAATTTTTGCCGAAATGTAAAAATCAAATTTTATGAGTCCCATAATCACAGCCAGTTTGTTCTTTGTCACACGGTAATGCGAAAACAAAGAAGTGTTCCCCATGGTTATACGTTACAGTTATACCTTAGTGTAAAGCTATTCTTACACTATGGTTATACCTACAAATGTTATCTCATAGGGTTAACAAATTTAGATTTATTTTTTTAATTTATTATTAATTTTCTCCAAGCTGAGGAAACACTTAGCAGGTCGGAGATTTGCCTGCTCATCAACTGAAGGTTGCTGTTAGTGAATACCAAAAGAGTTTTGTAAAGTACTTTTCCATTTGTTAATTGCAGAAACGGGGGAATAAATCAGATTGAAAGTAGATATGTGTAGTCCCTTCGTACGTAATTGTATACCGGGTGGTGCACGGTAAGTAGGGACATAGGGATTTAACATGGGAAATTAGTTTTATGCAATATCCTGCCCTCTCTTGTACATTTTACAGAAAAAACTGTAGAGTTTAAAGTTGTTCAGAATTAAAAGGTGCATTCAACACTGTTTTTACATGTTCTATTAAGCTATTGATATAACCGAGAATTTAAAATAAGTTTCAACATTTCTGTTATTAGTAGCAATTCATAAAACAACAAAAGTTGCTTGTGATCAATTCTATGCTGTTCTGTACGAGTTACTTGATATTTACGTTCCACGATGCTTTTATGCGCCATCTTACTATCCAAAATGGTTTACAAAAGACATTATTAGAAATATTAATCTAAAATCAAAATGTTTGAAAAAATACCGCACATACAAACGTGACCAGTATTTAACTGCATATAGAGACATACGCCGAATAATAAAGAAGCAAATTTCCAATTCCTATAATTCATATATGCATGTGGTAGAAAATTCTTTTAAAGTTAACGCCAAGCAGTTTTGGACATTCATCCGAGAAAAGAAATCTACTCCTCGTATTCCAGGCATCATTCAATACGGTGGCAAGGTATTCTCGTCACCGAAATCAATTATTGAAGTGTTCAGTGAATACTTTAGTAGTGTATTTGTAAATATTCCCTCCAACACCCAGGATAGTTTAGAAGATTTCAACATGCCAAATATTAACGTTTCTGTCATTTCCGAAAGTGAAGTCAAAGATGCCATTAATAAATTAAAAGCTAAAACTACTGTTGGTAAAGATTTAATCCCAAGTTTTCTTGTAAAAGATTGCAGAGACGTTTTTGTAAAACCATTGAGTCTAATTTTCAGTACTGCTATAAGGACCTGGGTTTTTCCCGAGATATGGAAAGTTGCTAATATTACTCCTGTCCTGAAGAGCGGAGATGCTAACAACGTTGAGAATATTATCGCCCGGTTAGTCTATTGAATAACTTCAGTAAGGTGTTTGAAATCACATTGTATAACAAAATATATTGTAATGTTAGGAATATAATTTCGGAGTGTCAGCATGGTTAAGCAACTTAACATGTTTCAAGCAATTATGTGTATCTGAAGTATTGGATCGAAGACGACAGGTAGACGTTATCTACACCGATATATGAAAGGCTTTTGATCGAATACCACATCAAATCTTAATTAAGAAGCTACGTCGCTACGGATTTCATGAAAACTTTGTACGTTTACTTCAGTCGTATCTCAAGAATCGTGTTCAAACTGTTACATTTAATAATTTCACATCGTCACCGGTGCATGCAACTTCAGGGGTTCCACAGGGTTCCAACTTAGGTCCTCTCTTGTTTTGCTTGTTTATCAACGATGTAGCTGACGTTATCTTCTGCCATAAGTTACTATACGCAGATGACTTGAAGATATACTCTATTATATGAAGTGCTGAAGACTGTTTACAACTCCAAACAAACGTTAATGCTTTAAGCAATTGGTCTTAACGTCGCGAAGTGTAAAATAGTTTCTTTTACCCGTACAGTGCGCCCAATTCAGTTCGACTACACTATTAATGATGCAAAATTACAGCGTTTCTTCTCAATAAAAGATTTAGGTGTCACGTTTGACACTAAATTTACTTTTAGTGACCATATCAAAGATGTCTGTCATTCAGCAAATCGTATGCTTGGATTTATAATTGGAAACAGTAAACACTTTTCTAATCAATTAGCACTTCGATCGTTGTACTATAGTTTAGTGCGTTCTAAAATTGAGTACTGTTCGCTTATATATAATCCGACATACACGGCCCATAAGAATGCTCTTGAATCTATACAAAGAAAATTTCTAAAATTTTTGCACTATAAAACTTATGGTACTTATCCTGTGAGAGGTTTTGATCACAAAGAATTGTTGCATATGTTTCAATTTCAATCATTAGACACTAGGAGAACAATTATGTAACATTTCTATTTAATCTACTGCACAATCATATTGACTGTCCTGATCTATTGAAAGCTACCTCATACCAGTGTACGGAATACAAGTTCTAGAACATTTCACTACAGCACTCTCCGCACAGAAATTCTATTTCAATCCCCTATTGTCACTATATGCCGTCTTTTTAATTCGATAAGCCAACGCTGTGATATCAACAATTCTAGCTTGCCATCAATATTGCAACAATGTTTACATTGATTTTTTGTATTTTATTGCTTCTTGTTTTTCATGTTATATACACAATACGGAAATGCATTGTTTTGTCAGCATTTTTGTTTCGATTTTCTGTGGGTACCTAACCTGCATTTTGTAAAGTAAATCTTTATTTACTTTTCTAATGTTAATTTTGTTTATTAGAGTTTTTTTATGTTAATTATAAGTTTACTAATTTAGTTATTATTTTTTTTTCTTCAGGGGGGGAAATGCAATGACGCACTAAGTGTGGGGCTGCCCCAGATACCGGGTATCCCCACTAAAACCCCTCCTGAGGCATCGACTAGTATGGTCATTTGCCTTATTAAATATATATAGGTATCAGTGTAAATTAGATTTTAGATATTAGGCCAGTATTTCTAAGATAAATTATAACTGCTTAACATTGATCTTTATTTGTCAAGGTTTCTATTATTTCTTCACTCAGGTTACACCGTACTCTTTCTACATTGTATTTGGGACACACACAAAGTACATGATCTACAGTTAGGTTGACTAAACATTGTTCGCATTGGGGAGGATCTTGACTCGTCAAAATAAATGAATGCGTGAGGGAAGTATGTCCCAACCTGAGCCGATATATCTTTTCAAGATTGTATCTTCCCTTAATTGGTAAGAATATCGGACCCACAACCTCCTTGAACTTCCTTAGGAACGCTTCCGATTCACTCCACTGCCCGTTCCACATTTCCCATATTCGATCTTTAACTAGGGACCGACGGGCGTTCTTGGATAGTTGAGACATGTCTTCGGCTATCAGGTTCAATTCGGTCATAATTTCTTTGGCTCTCACAGTCAACGATCGACACCTAGTTAAACGCGCACCTTCTATTACATCAACCATTCCGTGATAGTTCGGGTGATTCCTATCCAGCGAGACTTTTATGTAATAATTTGCTGCTATTTGCTTTCTTCTAAGAGCAAGAGGGGGAATATTAGCCTCGACATGGAGAGATACGACTGGAGATGTTGGAAAGGCGCCAAGTAAATATCTTATTGCCAGGTTTTGAATTTTGTCTAGCCGTCCCAACAATACGTTACTACAGGTAGAATAGACGTGAGATCCGTAGTCTATACGGGATAAGATCAAGGCTTTATATAATATGTCCAGCATGGTTTTAGGGTGGGCTCCCCATTTATGATGAGCCAGCACCCTTAGGATGTTTAGTGATTTTCTGCAAGATACTACTAAATTTTCTACATGTTTCGTCCATCTGAGCTCGCTATCATACGTTAAACCTAAGAATCTTATATCATTAACAACATTAATGCAACTTTTTTCTTTAAAAATGTACTATCATTTTTGAGGCACTTTAGAAGTTCACCTTTATGTGCTTTACAGGTGATTCTTTTGAGTTCTAAGTTAGGCTAAAAGTAGTTTTCTGTTGAATATTGTGATAATTAGCGATTTATTTTAATACATAAGTTAACAGCACAAAATTGCTTATTTGCCAATTTACTTAAAATTTTGCGGGATCCCGTAAATACTGGGATCCCGCGGGATTAACATCTAACGATCCCGCAAATATCGGGATTGACATTTTGCTGCGGGATTGCATTTCCTAGTTATTGTAATTTTTATTATCAGAAGAATGGTTTCGCGTTGCTTTTTGCCACGCTCAATGCAAAACTACGTTTCATTGAAGATTTATTCGCTTCTTGCGAGTCCCATCGTTCAATTACGGTCAGTTTATTCTTTATTTAACATAACATATTAACGACTGCTTTCGAACGCTCATTCACTTACCAAGTTGCCAACCTCTATAACGGATTACCTCGTTGCATCTCCATACTTCCCGCTGCCCAATTCAAACGTAAAGTCAAACAAAAACTACTAATGGCCACTTAGTGTCCTTCAGATTATTATCTTTCGTGTGAAATGAAAAATTTTGAAAGTCATGTTGAGTTATATTTATCTATACCGCCATATATTTTGTTTTCGCCAGAATGTGTATGTCCTATCGTGGGGTTTAGGTGGAAGAGCAGCTACAGGGAAGCTACCCCCTGTAACTGAATCTCGCCCCGCATTTAATTTTCATATATTTTTTATATATTCTTTCTTAATGCAATAAAGACTATTTATTATTATTATTATTATTATTATTATTTGAAGCTTCAGCCAGCATCGAGTGTTCGTTGAATGTGAGATTGAAGATTGAAGAAGTTCCGTTTGTGAAGCAGGAAGCCGAATTCGCGGCTAATTATTTTTCTACGTTTGTTCGTGCCGAAGTTTCTGTTGTCTTACCGGATGGAGGATTGTCGTAAAGTTTAGGCCTTCAAAGGTGCTGCAAAGAGAGGTGTTTGTCGACCCTTCCTAATTTTGTTTCCAACGTGACTCAGTTTGAAATCGAGTTTCTTTGTGAACGTCCTTATGTACCCTTTTTAGTTTATTTGTAATAATTGTTTGTGTTTTTGTACCATTTTCCTTTTGTGTGTTAAGATTAAATCGAACCAACCTTCACTTATTTGTAGGTTCTTATGTGCATCTCGTATTTTACTAATTTGATCTATTCAATACATATTGATAATAAGTCCCGAACTCTCCTAAAACTGTTCTCACTTTTGTACCAATTTACGGTTTGGACTTTCAACTCTAAAGTAAGCATTTTGTTTAAAATTGTGACAGCTGTCAATTTTATCTACTACTCATTTGAACTACTCAATAGATTGATGCGTTTTTTTTAATGGAACATAGGGAAATTACATTATTACATTGTATACAAAATCCTATGTTCGCATTAAAAAAAATCACTGTATGTATTATGCTTGCTGAGAAAACAGTTAAAAGCAAAAAGCAAATTTTGAGATTTTAGTCATGTGACTCCACAACGAGACATTTTGAACCCTTAGTTTTGTTGGATATTTTTGTTGTATAGGTACATGTTACCCTTTTGTATGATTTAAAATTTAAATGATCGCGAGCTTCTATTATTTAATGAGTGTAAGTCAGTTTAAACTTATAGCAAAGAGCTCTGGGTGAATCCTGAAACACGATTAACTGACAATACTAAGTTCAAGTTTATTGTGAAGATTCAAAACGTAAAGTTGTCGAGATATAAAATAAAATAAGCATTTACGAGCTTACTGGAAATAAATTTGCCACGGCATAAAACATGAAAAAACCGTACTTTGCACATAAATGTAGGAGCGACTGAAATATTAATATAGAGGATTGAGGTCTATTGTGCAGCTTTCAATTTTCACTTATATTAGGTATGTTGAGATTTTTTTTCTCAAATCATTAGTTCGCAAATTTAAATTTTTTACCCAAAATCGTCCTGAAACCTTCATTTTTTTCATGCCTACTTTCTGCCAGGAAATTTTAGTTCCGATGAGAGAGGCAGAGTAGACTACGTTTCCTGCCGCTTGTCCGGCTTGTCACTTTACTGGCCGCACCTGTCACTTTACCGGGCGCACCGTCACTTTACCGGCCGCATTTTTAAAATCTCCAAATGTCTATAAGGACTCCTGTCATCACTGACAGATTGACATTAATCAAAAGTTGTATATAAAAATTGAAATTTTATATTAAAAGACGATTTCGGGTAAAATTTAATACAAAACTCGTCAGTAAAATGTCATTATCTAACTCGGAAATTAAAGTACTCGGTCCAAAGGGGCCTCGCAATTCAATATTTCCTCGGCAGTATTGTACCATTTTCCTGACTTTTATGTAAATAATTATTATTGTGTAATACTAGTGTTACTTTTTCGGTTTGTTGTTTTCTGCACTCACTACCTATCTTCCTTGTAATCAATAATCCTACCTTTTTTATTATGAACGGATTCAAAACCGTTTGACCACTCCACAAGGCTATCTGCGTTTAATAATGACTCCATGATGACTGAATATACAACGCACCTTCACACATACAACTAGTAACACTGCTAAGGTATTTAATACATTGTTAATAATGAATGCAAAAATATAAATTCTGAGAGATCAAGATTAAGATTTCCTCTTGCGGCCGATTTCCAAATGCCATAATTCGATAACTTATCCTTGTGGTCAATCATAAATACTGAAGGGATAGTTGCTTAAAACTCATAAAATGGGCAACCTATACGAAACCCTTCAGGATAACCTACAGTTCATATTGCGATACAGAAATTGTTCGATTTTATTAAACAATTAGATGTTATATACCGTGTCTCCCAGGTTGAACGCATCATAGGCAAACAGCAATGTATTTTGTCGTGAAGGATCCACGTAGCCTTTGAAATGTATTTTTAGCGTCCAACGTACATACGTTATTGCGCTTTCCTGATGCTAGAAAGAGATTGGAGTAGTGCCAGCAAATGTTGCGCCTTGCAATTATGGTACGTCATTGAATAAGTAAGATAATTCCTTATTCAATGGTACGGTCTTAATTTACTTTACTATATGTAAACCGTCTAATCATAGCAAATGAAATAAACCCATAAAGAGCATTTGAAAAAGCGGCAGAGCACCTCGGTGTGACCCCACGGAGTCATTGGACTTGACCCATTTTCAATTGGCTTGTTACATGCGGTATATATGTTAACTGTGCAAAGTTTGAACCGAATAGGTTCAATCGTTTGCCAGAGGCAGAGAGGCGCGACCCTACTGGGTCATTGGATTTGACCCTTTTCAATAGACTGGTTACATGTGGCGTATAAGTCTACTGTGCAAAGTTTCAACCGAATAGGTTCAAGCGTGACCCCACGGGGTCATTGGATTTGACCCATTTTCAATAGGCTTATTACTTGTGGTATATAGGCCAACTGTGCAAAGTTTAAACCAGATTAGGCCAAGCATTTGACAGTTATTGTGTTCACGAACAGACGGACAGACGGACACCATAGACTCCCCTATAAAGCTTGCATCGCTTTGCTCTGCCGCTTAATAAAGCAAAGCGGTCTGAAATTATATTGCACTGCAAATACTTATGAGTAAAATCAATTTCTGACCCATGGATTCCTTTTTCTTCACAACCTAGAAATTTGTTGTACATTCAATATTTAAGATAGGAACTGTGGATAAATTTATTGCGCTGTTTCATATTGTTCAAAATATTTGATAGCAGTACTCCACACAGAGGCGAGTGTATAGTAATAAGTGAGTAGTAGAAATAAGTAGAACATATAAATGATAAAAATTATATAGTAATAAGTGAGTTGTAGTAGAAATAAGCAAAGTGGCGGATTTAACGGTGGGCGTAGTAGGCCTTCGCCTACGGGGCCCCGGCTCTACGCCGGAGGCCCTCGAAGCCCCTTAACTAAAAAAAATGTTTTTTCTGCGAAAACAATGGTTTGGGCGCCCATCATATCTCATATAGAGTCGGAAGTCATAACAATAACACTGTTGGAATGCTTACTACCGATATCCTATTAAGATATAGAAGTGAAATCCAATGCTTCAAAGATGTGTTTTTCACAACTGAGACCATCTCCCAGAACTGGTGCGTATCACAGTACTTAGAATTCATATTGAACAAAAATCTCGAAGAATGTTTCCCAGATGTGTTGCCGTTCTGAGAATATATTGGCTCAATATGGCAAACAGACGCTACCTTCAGTCTGCGACACTATTTCACAAAATTATTACTGACAAACAACCAGCGTATTTATACAATAAAATCAGGTATAGGACAGATATTCATAACTTGAATTTAAGGCATAGGGGTCTACTCACTATACCCCAGCATAAAACATCTTTATTCCGCCGTTCATTTAGTTTACAATTGGCTTCGGTTATACAACACTGTACCTTCGTTCTCTCAAGGGTTTGACCAGTAAGAAATTTAAGTTTGAAATGTTTAATATTCTATTTACATCACAAAGTTAAGATTTTGTTTTCCTTATACCTTTTATTTTTATTTTTCTCGTGTGATTTTACGTCTACTTATTTAATATTTGTTTTTTATGTCACTATGGTGTACCTACAGGTTTTATTTTTAGCTGAAAAGTGTTACTTTTATTTTATACGTCACTCCACTTATTTATGTGCATGGTGCATATGGAAGAGCAGCTTTTTGCTGATTTGTACATGGGATTCCATGGTTTATCTATGGAATAAATGAATATATTATTATTATTATTATATATAACGCTTCCAGTGAACACAGCCAGTGTGGAACGTGTTATGAGTTCTTTAAAACATATCAAGCAACCTCGAAGAAGTACATTAACCGAAGAGGGACTGAACGATTTCAGNTAGCACGAAATCCACTGAACGAGAATGATCAAAATTTTAACCGATGGTGTTCCATTTTGCCCTATCAGAGTATGCTAAAATCGATCGTCTGCCGCCTCAGGTCATACGACTTAAGGCGCTGCGGGTACTTCTTGTGGTACCAATTCTGAAAGGTTGTTTTTCGAGAAAATAACTTATACACCAAATGAAAACGTTGATAATAGCTCTTAAAAAAATATTTTAAAAAATCGCGCACATTTGATAACTCCGTAAAAAAACAATTCTTAGTCGGTTTTTCACGAACTTTCTACGGTTATAACTAGGTTACTGTCGGATAAATGAAGCTGATTTTTTTTACAGACTATAATGATGGGCACAGCCAATGGCTATGAGAGTGTTTCTTTTTTAAATTTTTTCTCTAATTAGAATCGTCTGCCGCCTCAGGTCATACGACTTAAGGCGCTGCGGGTACTTCTTGTGGTACCAATTCTGAAAGGTTGTTTTTCGAAAAAATAACTTATACACCAAATGAAAACGTTGATAATAGCTCTTAAAAAAATATTTTAAAAAATCACGCACATTTGATAACTCCGTAAAAAAACAATTCTTAGTCGGTTTTTCACGAACTTTCTACGGTTATAACTAGGTTACTGTCGGATAAATGAAGCTGATTTTTTTTACAGACTATAATGATGGGCACAGCCAATGGCTATGAGAGTGTTTCTTTTTTAAATTTTTTCTCTAATTATAAGATATCTTATAATGTTAAGATGATAAGATAATCTTATAATTAGAGAACAAATTTAAAAACGAACCACCGTTAAGTCATTAGTAGTACCTATCATCAGTCTGTAGAAAAAATCAGCTTCATTCGTCTAACCGTAACCTAGTTATATCCGTAGAAAGTTCGTGAAAAACCGACTAAGAATTGTTTTTTTACGGAGTTATCAAATGTACGCGATTTTTTAAAATATTTTTTTAAGAGCTATTATCAACGTTTTCATTTGGTGTATAACTTATTTTCTCGAAAAACAACCTTTCAGAATTGGTAGCACAAGAAGTACCCGCAGCGCCTTAAGTCGTATGACCTGAGGCGGCAGACGATCGATTTTAGCATACTCTGATAGGGCAAAATGGAACTCCATCAGTTAAAATTTTGATCATTCTCGTTCAGTGGATTTCGTGCTAGCTCCCCTACTATAAGTAAAGCCACAAGTTCCATCCTACTATACACTATGGTTGCTGATAAAAGAAAGAAGGAATGCAAACTCTTGACTACTAGACCCTGAACTTATTTGGAAACAATGCTTTTATTAGTCCCTTGTCCCACTCAATACTTTCTGACGTACGTAATTATTACATCCTATGCGAAAACGTCGTTGCATAAACCAGACTTTACTCAACACACTCTTTAGTAGACATTTCATCATTTTCTGTTATTCTTATTGGTGGGAGAATTATGCAAGCATTTTGGTAACTTTCGTTCCATGGATACATTTTCTGTGAACAAACCTTTGGAGCAGATTTTACAAGAGCAAATTTTTTTTAGTAAGTAAATCCTTGTGAACGACTACTCCAGAGATGGAGTTTACTTAAGAGGAGAAGGAGTAGTTTACTGTAGGGGCAAAAGCGTACATTCATGCAACCAAGTTATTAAGGATCCTCAGATGCTTTATAGTTTTGTATTGTCGTCGGTCCGTCCGTCCGTCCGTGTGCGCTCTAACTCTTTTTAAAAGTGACCGTTTGTGTTGAAATTTGATGTACGGGTACTTTGGACATTAAGGATGGGCGTTATTGATTTCCAGGAAGCTGGTTCAACAGGAACAAAAGTTATAGGACTTCGAATGAATCGGGAACAGGAAAAACTGCGTTCTCAATATAATAGAAATCAATATAATATTCATTCCCTAGGTCATATATCGAGTTAGGACTTTCGCTAGATTATTCCCTATGACTCTTAGATGTGTAACAATTCAATATAACTCTTCTCTGTGGCATAGGTCAAAAGTTTTAGAGCAAAATGTACCCAAAATTATTTTTTACACATGAATTTGGAGTTTTAAAAGCTTTCAAACACATTATCTTGATGCTGAAAGAGTACATCACGTGCACATTTAATAACCGCATGTGTGTGATTCAAAGATGTTAAATTATTTTTCTGAGGCCACATGGATTTTGATCAAAGTATGTCAAAATCGTTATTTATGCACCAATACCGTTGGCAAAAAGACTATAGGGGATTACCTCAATACCTACGACATGAATTTGATGCATTTTGGGCGACCACGTGGATTTTAATCAAACATGTCAAAATCGTTATTTATAGACCAAGATCGTTGGGAAAGAACTAAGAGCATAATCTCAATGCTCAAGACATAAATTTGATGCATTTCTGGCGACCACATGGATTTTGATAAAAACATGTCAAAATCGTTATTCTTCCACTCAGATCGTTAGGAACAAAATTAATAGCATTATCTCAATGCCCAAGACATGAATTTTATGCATTTACATAAAATGTATTTTGTAAGATTTAAATAAATTTGTATTTTGTAAGATTAAAATAAATTGTCGTTAAAAGTGATTGTAATACTGAGGATCCTTCGATATTTCGTTGTGTCGGTTTATTTATTCTTAATTACAAATCGACAATTGAAATTGTAGTTCTCTGAGAGTTCCCAAAATCCATATGGGACCAAGTATTTCAGTGTAGGGTTCAATTTTCGAGTAATCCGCCCCAATCCCTCTTTTACGTTTAGTCCTTACTGAAGTAAAAATGAATATGTTTTAGTATAAATGGAGAGAATTTTCGACTTTTCTAACGTTACCAGATAACATAAACTCATTGCAGTATTCATTAGAATCACGCAATTTCGTAAATCTGTGGCACATTTGTAGTAAAAAAGTATATTTCAAAGAGAGTCGGTGAACCTACAAAAGAATTATTTTCTGTAAATTAAAATTTAAGCTGATCAGTTGCCTGCTGATCCAAACGCATACTTTTGGCAAGTGTGCGTGGTTCCTTGGAGTTGTTTCCAACCCAAAAATCCTTTGAGGGTAACTGGGAAAATCTAGCAATAAAGTTAATGAAATGGTATTGTTTATTTTTTAAGTGGTGATTAGAAACAGGTCATGCAAAACGTGAATTACATTGCGTAAAATGGCAAAAAATTCATGTCGTACTAAATGATCTGTAATATTAGTGCGTTATCCACCAAACATAAATTTAAATGGGAATGGGTCAGATTTTATACCTAATATGCTTATTTGTGCCTTGTATGTATGTAATTACTTTATTTGTTTCATTCCGTTATTGTATCACAATACCACTAAGTTAAACAAAATAAACTAATCAAACCCGGCAAAACTTTGATTAAGTTTATTTCCTTTATTCTGAGCAAATAGATTAACGAGTCGTAAAAAACGCATCTAAATATCTATTCATACTTCCACAATCTGAAATTGGTATACAAGATATTTTAGGGGCGGCGATCACGTTGGCGGGAGGCGGCGCAAGAGCTTAGTATAAAAGCGGACGAATTTACAAGTCGGTTGAGTTTTTATTAAGGTGGTGGACTGATAACGATTTCACCCCACACATAAACCACGTACGAACTTTCTAAACTAAGGGTGTAAATACCTATCACTCAGTTCGAACAATATTTTCATTTTCAATTACTAGATTACCCATCTTCATTAGGTAATTAATTTACAACCCCTCATCAATTTTTCTAATTAATTCCATTTGTAAAAGATCGGTGTTATGATAATCATGTGTCAGTTGTTGAAATTAAAGTATACTGCAATGACCGGTAAGGTGGCTGCAATCTCTGTCATCTTAATCTTCTGCTTCGCAGAATGCGCTGCTGGTAAGTTCAATGCTTGTGTACACATTTTAACAGACCAGACGTGGGATTTTATGACGTTGACAAAATTAAACGCGCGGTTAAGTAACCTTATGTGGAACTACGAAAGTGACCATGACACAAACTACCAATCCAAAACTTTTAATTAACCTCCTTTCTAAGTCCCTTTAATTGTATGCGGTAATTTTATATCAATGTTGTCTTAATTTGATGAGATAATGAAATTAAGCTTCATCAAATCAAATTTAATAACACCCGTAAAGTACAGTGTAAAATTGTAGGTGGTAGAAAAATGACTTTCATAATATCCTATTATTACATCGCATGCTGGCGCAAAAATGTTCACCAACAAAAGTGGGAAGGGGGCTCGGAAAATCTGTTAATTATAATTAGTTACATCAAGATTGTATCACGGAATTAAATTAAGCTTTCACTTAATAGCGTTAGAAGATTACCACACATATATAATCTGCATGAGTAATAACATCCTCTTCAACAGTATTTGACACTTATTTGATTTCAATTATGGTTACATCCTCGATGTCGGTTAACGCAAAATATATATTGAGAGAGATTATTTATGACCTTAATCTATATTCTGTGCACATTTAAAATCAGTAATATTCAAATAGTGTGACTTGTTAAATTGATTATTTATATAATTAATTTTCACTTGTAATAAACTAAATATTTTCACTGATCAAAATGTGGGGTGAAGGTACGAAATGCGCTTACTCGAATTTACATACATACGAGTTCTGGTTGAATTCATCATTTTGTCTCATATAAACTTTCCTTGCGTGTACTTTATGACAGTTCTAGTTAGCACATCAAAATATGAGAAGTAACTTTCCGTGTTTGCCTCTAAATGGCATAAATTATTGCACCTCCAAGTCGATTCAACGGGTGTCCAGTAGATAATAGTGTATGGTAGATAAGAAGAACCTGACATACCTGGCGTTAACGTCTGGATTGTAAGACACAGATGGGGGAACCCTTTTTTAAAATGAAAATTTGAATATTTTTCTGAACGACTTGTCATTTTCGTAATAGTCATATACAGGGTGGTGACTTGCGTAACGCATCATAGGGATTTCAATGTAAAATTCATAACATGCGATTATTGGCTCCCCAAATTATTTTAGAGCAAAAATGTATTAAGGTTTTTTGTAGAAAAAAATTTTTTACGTCAATCAACCGTATTAGTTTTCAATTTTTTGCATAATAAAGACGGAAAATTGGAAAATAAAACCCCCATCTTTTTCAATAATCTGTGATGCCATGGAATTTTATAATACAAAAACTACGCCAATATCCGTCATGCTATGGAATGTCTGCTACAAAACAAATCAAATTCTATCAAAAAGTATTAATTTAGAACAGCGAATTCAACATAAAGAAAGACCAAATTATTAAAAACGGTTTCCCAATATAACAATTTACAATAAATGTTCGAATAAGTCACCATTAACTGCAAGACAGTAACCAAGTCGATCATAAAATCCATTTCGAACTGCTGCTAATTGATAACTGGATATCTTTTTGTTTTAGAAAATTCCATGGCATCGCAGATTATTGAAAAAGATGGGGGTTTTATTTTTCCAATTTTCCGTCTTTATTATGCAAAAAATTGAAAACTAATACGGTTGATTGGCGTAAAAAAATTTTTTCTACAAAAAACTTTAATACATTTTTGCTCTAAAATAATTTGGGGAGCCAATAATCGCATGTTATGAATTTTACATTGAAATCCCTATGATGCGTTACACAAGTCACCACCCTGTATAATTTGACACTCCTTTGTTCCATCTACGGGACTCTTATGGCCGTTTGCACCGACAAATTTAAGCGGCACTTAGCTAAATCCATGGCAACGATTATTGAGACAATGGTTGCCATGGATTTTAAGCTACGCTTAAGCTAAGTGCCGCTTAAATTTGTCGGTGCAAACGGCCATTAACATTATGTTTACCTTCTAACTCCCTTAAATAAGTTTTTGAAGTAGGTATGTGAAGGTACCGAGGTCCCATCTAAGATACGCTGGTATTTATTGGGTAGGTACGTAATTACGTGTAAACAACCTAGCTTCTAAGCAGTATTAGATTGGCGGTAAAAATGCTGAATTCACAATTTCAATTGCACCTTACCTTCATTTATTACATTGTTACCAAAATCTATTATTATACTATAAAGCACGAACCATGGATTTTCCTATGCCGTAATCCTATGGATTCGACAAGGAACATTCACACTTGAAGATAAAGAAAAAATCTACGTAGGCGTATCCACCCAAGTCACTGTTAGATTAGAACACAGATTGGAAAGTTTCTATTCCTGCTTTTTAAATTAGATTTTCAAATTTAAATTTTTGATCTCGTTTTTCGTTATAAACACAAAACAAAGATAATATTTGCACAAAATCCCATCAGAGTGAAAAAACACAATATGAATCATTTAACATATACCTACTACATAAGCCTTACGGGAACCATGACCTTTTCTGACTCGATGCTGATATTGCTGATATGTTAATGAGGTTCGAGATACCGGGATTCCCCGGGACCACTCACATTTTCCCATTTTCCTACCTCCTTCTTTGCAAGATATAACCTACTGAATCCATTACTTATCCTAGCAGATAGAGGGATAGGCGGACAGAGAAATTTTGTCATTCAGGATTCATAAATACAATGTAATTAGATTAGAAGAAACTAGACTTAAAAAATGCCTTGCTGAAGGTGCGTTTAATAATATCAATGAATCTATACCCGGTAATTTATGTTTAATTCAACATTGAAGTTTTTTCCTTGGTTTTCTCCTATATGACTTTTGTAATAGTTATTTATATAAAAGTCAGGGAAATGACACATTACAGGCGAGGATATATTGAAGAGAGGGACCTGTTTGGGGTCGAGTTCTTTAATTTCCGCGTCAAGTAATGTGTAATTTTCCACGCCGGTAATGTGACAGGAGACAGGAAAAGTAGTCTGATCTGCCTCTGTCGTGGAAACTCCCTGACATGAAGTAGGCATGAAAATGAGGGTTTCATCGCGATTTTGGATAAATGTTTTTCTTTGGCATGCTAAGACATGCTTAAGACAAATATGTTTTCCTTACCCAACATTCAAGAAAATCATTTATATTTAAATATACCATCATAATTTTTTTTTGTGGAATGAAAATAACCTGTATTAGAAAAAAGTTGCCATATTATTGACTATACGACAAGAGTTTTAGAATTTTTAACAATAAGTCGTACTTGTCAAATTGTAACCAATCTTTGGCACTGGCAATATAAAGACTCCTATCAATACATACTTTGGCTGTCACGTGTCAACTTTTATATCTGACCTTCTCCAATGCTAAAAGTAAATATCCTACTAAGATTTTGCTTAGAAGCTGTCATCCAAATATTAAAGAAATTTCGAATTATCTAGAGGGACTATTAGGAGATTTTTTTAATCGGAAAAGCCAAGGCTGTTTTTTGCATACTAGTAAAATGGTCTTTGGGGAGGAGATACGCACAAATGTTATTAAGAAACGTTGTTGAGAATGTAAAAACCGAATAAACGTGCGATTACAAAGTCTTAGGCCTACTATGATTTTTTTTATGTTTTTATTGTTTCATGTATTTTTGAGAAAATTCGAAAAAATGTTACTTCAAAGAACTATTCAAAATAGCATCTAATGGGCATGTAGTAAATTTGAAGCCGATAATGACACTTCCGAATATTATTTAAAATATTTCATGTATGTTAAATTAATGATTTCAATATCAACTTAATTAATTCTCAAATTAAAATTAAATCGCCTCCTAGTTTTTCAGATTTCTTAAAAAAGTCCAGTTATTAAAAAGTAAAAAAAATCAAAGTAGGCCTAGGAGTTTTTCATTCCGAAGAACTTTTTTTAATTAACATTTGTACCATCTCGTCCCCAAAGAGCAATTTTCTGGTATGCAAAACAGGTTTTTTGAACGTTTCAAAGACACCCTTAATTTTTCGAAACTAAAAGTATGGCACAAATCAGTTTGCAGCCAAGCAGGACTGATCTCGAGAAGCACCAAATCAATTGAAAATGTATTGTTTTTTACAAGAGATGACCAGACAATTGGGACGCTACATCCCTGTTTTACTGCTCTGACATTGTCACCATAATCGGCCAGAATGGTAGCCGATACATTTCACAGGTTTGTTGAACTAATTATAACAATAAAGCCCTTAAGTGGATCTAAAAAAGCGGAAGAGTACCTCGGAGTGACCCTATGCATAATTGGATTTGACCCATTTTCAATAGGCTTGTTACATATGGTATATACGTCAACTGTGCAAATTTTTAATCGAATAAGTTCACGCGTTTGGCTGAGACAGAGAGGCGTGACCATACGGGGTCATTATTGGTCATAGGTCAACTGTGTAAAGTTTGAACCGAATGGCAGTTATCGTGTTCACGGACAGGACAGACGGACAGCCGGAAAGACAGACACCATCGACTCCCCTATAAAGCTTCCGTCGCTTTGCTCTGCCGCTTAATAATTTATTTCTTTGCAACAGAAAATAATTAATTATACATCGTAAAGTTGAAACAAATGTTACATTGTAAAATGACAATTTGGACTTTGAAAAAGAAATTGTAATTTTACCCAAGTTTATTATTTCAATGATAAAAAAAACTGTATCAAACTGAGTGAAAAACTAATATAGTGTCCATTTAAAATAAGGAAGTTGATGTCAATATCTCGAACACCGCCATTTTGATTTTTTTTTCTACGCCCATTGAATTAATCCCAGAATCAAACTTTTATTTGAAACTTTTTTCGATAGTTCTCTTTATTATTGAAATATTTGACCTTTTTAAAAATGGTAATTTTCACTTTTTTCCAATTATCTACGAAACAATTTATTTTTTTCAAAATATCGCATTGGAATATCCATCAGCATCAAAAACTACACAACTTTGCCTATTTAACCGAATCTGTAAGTATAATAACAACAATAAGATAGCCA